GTGATAGTTATGCTAACAAGTGAGAAACACTTTTTGAAAGACTGGTAATATAAAAATAAAAAATTGTTCAGGTCTTCCTAACATTCATTCATTCAAGCTACTTATACGGTTTGACTTTCAGAGCCACATCATAAGACTCTAAATCCCAAAGTGTTGTAGCTTGATAATCCAGAGGTAGCTGGTGTGCTGCTGTGGTTTAGGGCTTCTATTACTGAGTCAGAGCACTCACAGTAGTCTGCCATTCAGTGTAGCTTCAAAAAGGGCAGACGGGGGGAGCCCATCAGCTCACAGCAAGGGGCATTAGCTGCTAATCAGACTCCCGAGCGTGTTCATTACCTCCTGCTTTTAATTAAAGGGCCATTTTGGGGCTGACTGATAACGAGCTGACTGGCTTTCTCCGTTTCCCTCCCCTGTCCGTTTGAATTGCACAGTTCTTCGAACTCTTTCTCTGCAGATGAGAGGTTTCATCTCAAAATGATATATTTAAATTATAAAGTGGGACCTACTGTAAAAACTTACATAAGGATTTCTTGCCTGAACATAAAATCCACAATGGAAATGTATTCAAGTTATGAAATAAATTATCCAAGGACGGATTAAATATCTTTTCAGCCTCCAACCTTACATCCTTATCACGTTCATTCAGGGATGAGTTCATTTCCAATTTCTTTAGACGTTATAAGTTGATGCAAGCATCAAACAAGATGCTAAACCTGATTGTGAAATTAATGATCACTTATTAATAAAGTCAAATAAACTGGAATAAGGGACAATTAGTCTTCATGAATCTAACGTTTCAAAGGAAATGGTTACTAATCTGCTTCCATTTTCACATCCCCTTTAAACATTTCCTCAGAAACGGCCAGAAAGTGTTCGGCTTCGTATACAGCCTCTTTATTCATAAAATTAGAAATTAATTTCACTTGATTTACCAGCAGCATAAAGCATTTTTGCATATTAAACAGATAAGTCGTATCATGTGCATTCGCTACAGAAGAAGAAGAATAAGGAAACATCATCAGCATTGAAACTGGAAATGTGTGCACCAGCCAGCAGTGTTACAGGCTTGTTCTGTAACTGAAAACTATGTCCTGCCAGTGCTTTTTTTTTTTTTTTTTCAAGGGGTTAATGTGGGTGAGTCAGGTAATAGACTCAAAATACAGCCCATTGAAAGGCCCACTCTCTGCCTGATCAGTATGCAAAGGTGCACCGCTCTCATTCATCCTACAGGTGTATGAAGTGAACCGGCGTGTGTAGCAGACTGAGTAATCACCCAGACACACACACTCCTATTCACACACATTTGTCAGGTTTTCATTTCTTGTTTTTATCAACACCAGTGCAGCTGCATGTCAAAAGAGAAATGAGTTTGCTTCTGATGAACGTCCGATGCTTTTGTCAGGCGCATGAGTTTCTCGTTACCTAATTTCCTTTGGCAGTGACAAAATTTGGCAAAGTTGTTCTTGTCTTTCGTATGAAGTTTTCGGGGCTTTTAGACATGAAAGTGTTGTAGATTATCAGAGTGGTGTTTGTTTGAGTTTGGTATGGCAATGGACTAAACTTCAAACCTCTTAGAATCAGGACCAGGACTCCAAGAACAGAGCAGACGTGAATGTGGTCCATGTGGCTGGTAGTCATTAGATTTCCTAATCTGCAAAATAAAAGGCAGCAAAGTGTTTTTTTCTTTTCTTTTGCTTGTTTTTACATGGCAAGCCACATTAAAAAACACCCAATTCCCATCACAGAATGCAGAATTGGAGCTATTTTCACATATATTTGTACATTAGATGGATGGAACCTTGAGTGCATGCATGTGTGCGTATCTGCCATATTGGAACGTGCAAGCAGGAATCTGGAGGCAGCACTGGACAAACGTGGCCTTTTTCAAACCCTGTAGAGATTTAATGAGCCTCCAACAAACTAAAGAGAAATATCAAACATGCTGGGATGTTACAGAGGGGGTGTTCCAAAAAAAAACGCTTTTTAGAACCTTCTCAGGAGAGGACATGTGGCCAGAGTCTGATGCTCATTTGGACATTAGTGTCAGAAGTGCTTGCCTGTATCATGAAATATTAATGCCTGATAAGGTCCGTCTGGCTCAAATGTTGCAATTATAAATTACTGCAAGCTATTTAAGAGTGTGCAGACTTTGAGTGCTTCAGAGCACCAGATTTCTGAGGTAAAAAGCCGAAATGGTTATTAAAAATATTGAAAAATGTAGCTTTAGTCAGACATACACCCCAAGTTAGTGGGTTTTTTTGTAATGCAGATGTCA